CTCCCTTCTCCAGGGATTTGAAGCTGGGCCAAGAGGCGATGGGAATGTCATTGTCGCAGCGTGGGGGCCCAACGGAGTAAACGCTGCGCCGCAGGGAAGGGAGCGGGACGTTGCTGCACCGAGTTCTGCTCCGCAGTCGGAGAGAGGGACGGCCCAGAAAAGCCAAGCGGAGCCCTGGTCGGAGGGGGCAGCTGGAGGACTGTGGGGCTCATCCACGCTCCCACGGGCGGCAAAAGCCACGGGGCAATACCTAAGGGCTGGGAGCTGTCCCCATGCGCGCTTGGGGTTCGGGACATCAGTCTTTCGACCGGACTCCGGCGTCCATCCGAGCCCAATGAGGAGCCGGGGCCGCATGTGAACCTATGCAGACCAGGAAGAAATACATTTTCCTGACTTTCCTTGCCTCTTGGCTCCTGCTTTTCTTCTTTGGGGGAGGCCCGCTGAGCCGTTTCACTTTCTTTTCCGTGAGGAAAGCTGGTGCCCGGAGGAACTGGCCCCCGTGGACTGATCGATCCCTCCTCAGAAGCTTTGCAGACCCCGAGGAGCTCCAGAGCGATGAGGACCCCACGCTGCCGTCGCCCCGGGAATGGCGGGCAGCACGGCTGAGCGTCTACAAGAACAGCAGATGCCGGATGGAAACCTGCTTTGATTTCTCCAGGTGCGAGAAGCACGGCTTCAAAGTCTTCACCTACCCCCGGGAGAGGGACCAGCCCCTCTCGGAGAGCTACAGCAAAATCCTCGACTCCATCGAGCGCTCTCGCTACTACACCCCGCACCCCGAGGAAGCCTGCCTCTTCATCCTCAGCATCGACACGCTGGACCGCGACCATCTCTCGGGTCAATACGTCCGCAACGTCGATGAGAAAATCCGCCGTTTCCCGCTCTGGAACGGTGGCCGTAACCACCTCATCTTCAACCTCTACTCGGGCACTTGGCCCAATTACACCGAGGACTTGGGCTTCGACATCGGCCAGGCCATCCTGGCCAAAGCCAGCTTCTACACCGAGAGCTTCCGGCCCGGCTTTGACATCTCCATCCCTCTCTTCCCCAAGGATCACCCGCAGCGTGGCGGGGAGCGGGGGTGGTTGTATCAGGACTCGATTCCCCCGAAAAAGAAATACTTGTTGGTGTTCAAAGGGAAGCGGTACCTGACCGGCATCGGTTCCGGCACCAGGAACGCGCTGCACCACATCCACAACGGGAAGGACATCATCTCGCTCACCACCTGCAAGCACGGCAAGGACTGGGAGAAGCACAAGGACACGCGCTGCGACAAGGATAACGTCGACTATGAAAAGTGAGTTGGATATGGGGTGGGGAAGGGGGTTTGGTGTGGGAGGGAGGAGACCCCACACGTGTTCCTGCCCCTCTGCAGGGTGCAGCCGTGCCTGTCTGTGGTGGCTGGATCTCCGGATGCGGGGAGAGAGGAGAGCGTTGGGCTCTCCCGAAATTGAGGGTTTCATTTCCACAGCGGGGAGCGAGGGGCTGATTGTTCAGGGCTTTCCTGTTCTGTATTAAAGTTGGAGTAATCTGGCGAGAGCGGCTCTTATCTGCAATCCCCGCGGCCGCCTCTAATACGATTTCCCTTTTCCCTAACGCCGATGAATGATGCTTTTCTTCTCCCCCCTCCTGCCCTCCCCTCCCATAAATGTTTATCTTGGAGATGAGCCTGAAACATCCCCCCTCCCGGCTCACTGACTCCGTTAAAAATCCCACAAAACTGGCGGGTCCTTGGGCATCCCGGTGTGGGCAGCTCCAAGCTCACCCGGACGTGGTGGGGTGCGGGGTCTCCCTGTGTCCCCCCTTGCAAATGGGGATGGTGCCAGCGGTGTGGGATGGATCTTGGTGGAAAAATTACGGGGACAAGGTTCTGTGAGTTAGGGGGCTCCTCGCCTCCCTGTCCTGCTGCTGGGGACCCGTCACCAGCTGCCCAGCCCAGGACTGTGAGCACAGACCCCGTCCCACCGGCGATGGTCC